TGCATCTGTAGTCCTAGCCACCACCACACCCAGCTAATTTTTTGTATTTTTAGTAGAGACGGGGTTTCACCGTGTTAGCCAGGATGGTCTCGATCTCCTGATCTCGTGATCCACCCATCTCGGCCTCCCAAAGTGCTGGGATTACAGGCTTGAGCCACTGCGCCTGGCCAAGCATGTTTTTTTGAGATAGAATCTCACTCTGTCACTCAGGCTAGAGTGCAGCAGTGCAATCATAGCTCACTGCAGCCTTAAACTCCTGGGCTAAAATGATCCTCCTGCCTTAGCCTCCCAAAGTACTGGGTTTACAGGTATGAGCCACCATGCCCGGCCCACACTATACTTTTGAAATGAGTAAAATGTCAAGGGAAAAGGTAGGCTGATTAAGAAAGAAAAAGCAGAACCTCTTTCTTCAGATAAAATGTTTGCCAGCCTCACATGAAAATTAAAATGAGAGCATCTGACATTTTCAATTGTCAAGCTTAATTCACTTTAGTGTTAAAGAGTTTTTCAGCAAGTCTTTTACCTATTAAATGTGTCAATGTGTCACTGTTCTCTAATGTCCTTGCATGAGCGGCAGTCAAGGGGAATACCGAGTGAATGTGAAGAGGACTGCTGGCTGGCAGCATGATTGCAACTTTTCAGACTCTTAAAAAGTGTTCCTTGTCCTCCCTGTGTCCCCTATTCTAGCACTCTTAAACACAATGGTTAAAAGGTATGGGTCAAACTATCTTTCAGCACTGCAGGTGATAACTGTCTGTGCACTGAATGAATTGAGGAGGAAGAGAAGCAGTTATGAGTCAGAAGGCTCTGTTGCTCTTAACTTTCATATTCATACAGAGAGGTGAGATCGAACCTCACAGAGCCACCAATAGGCTGGGAAATACCTCCAACAGCAAAGCTGGGAGCCATAGGCCAAATCTGCATACATGCAGCTATGGCCCTGCGACCCCATGGGTACCAGTGTAGGAGGAGATAACCTTCCTACACAGTAATCATAGGGTATCAATGTTTTCTGTGAACTTCTAGAAGATATAACCTAATAAGCATCTGAATAAACCTGGAAAACCTACTCAAATGTTCAAACTTTTTTTTTTTTTTTTTGAGACAGAGTCTTGCTCTGTCACCCAGGCTGGAGTGCAGTGGCGCGATCTCGGCTCACTGCAAGCTCCGCCTCCCAGGTTCACGCCATTCTCCTGCCTCAGCCTCCCAATGGTCTCAATCTCCTGACATCGTGATCCGCCCGCCTCAGTCTCCCAAAGTGCTAGGATTACAGGCGTGAGCCACCATGCCCAGCCCAAACTTTATCTTTGTTAACAGAAGCATGGCTCTATACAGAATTCCATCTTCGAATGAAACCAAACGTTTCCAAATAAATTTCTAACAAAACAATTTCACTGTAACTTGATGAACTACCCCAGAATTAACGTACACATCTATTAATCCATTACTCTGCCTTGCCAGCCTATGACCTGCCCATGCACCTCTCCCAACTCTGCCTGACCATGTCAGACTCAGGCATTCTAGTGAAAAGAAATTAACATACATAGCAGAAAATTCAATCTTCAGGACACCTCTAAGAGTCAGAGAGTTCTCCATATGCTGAATCGAAATCTTAGTGATTTTTACTCCTAGTTCTTCCTTGTGGAGCTATATAGAATACCTTGTATTCAGTCTGAACTATTACTTACCTTTAGACGTTCAATAGCTTCCTCTCCTCCAGGTGTAGACATGATCCTCTCTTGAATACTGGTCACAGACGTCAAGCCCACCTGACTATTGAGTGAGCAGGAAGATGGGGATGAAGTGAGGGACCCCATGGATGCTGTGGAAAAATGGCCAGGGCGTTGATTCTCAGAGGCTAGCAAGTACCTATGCTTATTGTTCTGAAAATCTTTCAGATCTGGGAGATAGAAAGAAGAGAAGGCAGAAAAAGTAGGGGAAAGGGAAAGAAGCAGAAGAAAAAAAGACAGGAAGGAATATTGTTGTAAGAAAGGACAGCATTAAAGCGCCAAGACAAAGACAGGCTATAATACAAACACCGGTTACAACTGTTCTAGATGGCAGTTCTAAAACATGTCTGTCTTTAATAGTGGTATCCTAGAGGTTCAGAATCATTTGTGCATTTACAAACTAAAAGATTCCAATGTAGGTTAACACTGTATCTTGCAGGGGGATAAACCAGAGCCTCTAAGGAAACTGCTTAGGCACTCTCCCTAAAAAAACCAAAATACCTTCCATTTCGTCTTTCTAGTACTCCTAGTCTACAACGTCTTCAGATTTACACTTTTCCAGTAGTTTGTAATAGTAAGGGGAGAACAATGATCATTTATTTATCAATAATAATCCATATTGGTCTGGCTCAGTGTTTTATGTAATTCAGCAAAAATTTCCAAGAAAATGTTATGGTTAAACAAAGTTTGTGCACTGAGTAGTATGCTTTGTATGGCAACATTTCAACATGCTAAAAGGATTTTTAATATGTCTTAAATAAAAAAGCGTAATTATAGAAATGAGAGGAATTTTGTATAAGTCCTGGTTAAAAATTCAGGACTAACTGATTGCCTCAACAGGGAAGAACAATTAGCAGATGAATGAGTTTTAGTGTAGGTTCCATTCTTCAGTCAGAGCAAGCAAAAAATAAGGCCGGTTATTTGTTAATTTAAGGCCCTTAATTAGCCTAAGAGTACAACCACGGGTCACTGCTAAGCCCGCTTCCTAGTATAAAATGCAAGTTTTAGGAACATACTTCCATTTACTAAGTCTCTAATAGAACGGTTAATTTCGCTTTTAAACTCAGTATTGGTAAAAGAAAAAAAAAATTTAAGCCACAAACAACAAAATTTACTGATTTGCTGTTGTACTTTCTTTCATTAGTCATCCTTTGCAAAAAGATACCAAAGGTAAACCATAAGTATTGGTGCAATCCAACTTTAAAATTAGCTCATTTTTGAATCTGAAAAATTAAAATTCATATCAAAACTATGTAAGTTTTCCTTAAAGGAGATAAGTCAATACACACAGTTGGAAAAAATACTATTAGTTTTCCCTGGGCCTACTCATCTCTACTATTTAATTAAAGCCAGTTTTTTAACTCCCTTAAAGCCAGTGGTTGCTTCAAGACAGTTTGAAAACCACCATCTGCAAATACAGAACACAGGGAAACAAGCAAAGAGGCATCTTTTAAAAGGGGGATAGGGATTAGAGCAAAAAATTAACCATCGGGGGAAAAGACCAGGATGGACAGAGTTAAGGTCCAATGGTCACATGCAAGCCCTAAAAGGAATTAAGAGAATTAGATCAAGATGGAAACTGAGAAGTAGTCAGGGCTGCTTTCCCTCAGGAATATAGAATTAAAACTTAGTCATGCATGGTGTTTCAGGAAATGCCGCAGCTGCTAAGAAAAGAGGTAGGCAACAAGCTGGCAGCAGCAACACCTTGAGCACAAAAGCAAAAAGAAGGCGGCACCTTTTCTACACCAGTATCGTTGAGCTTTGGAAATCTCAGACAGAGCTGCTGCAGTCCAAGAGTCACTTCTGTATCAGGACATTATAGTGCATTTAAGCCCTAACCTCATAACCACAGCCAGGGCTATATTTGGTTTCTCCTATGCATTTTCTCACTGTCTGCCAAGCTTCATTACATGCCTTACTGTAGAAATAAACAACTCAGGTGGCTGGGCTCAGTGGCTCACGCCTGTAATCCCAGCACTTTGGGAGGCCAAGGCAGGAGGATCACGAGGTCAAGAGATTGAGACCATCCTGGCCGACATGGTGAAATCCCGTCTCTATTAAAAATATAAAAATAAGCTGGGCGTAGTGGTGTGGGCCTGTAGTCCCAGCTACTCGGGAGGCTGAGGCAGGAGAAATTGCTTGAACTCGGGCAGAGGAAGTTGCAGTGAGCCGAGAGCTCACCACTGCACTCCAGCCTGGTGACAAAGCAAGACTCCATCTCAAAAGAAAAAAAAAAGAAAAAAGAAAAGAAAAGAAAAAAAGAAATGACTCAGTACGAATCTAAAAATTAACCCCAAAATCAAGATATTTTTCTTCTAAGATAACAATTTTTTGATGAATTACCTTAAAAGGGTAAGAAATAATTTCCTCACCAACTTAAGATATATATGGAGAGAATAACGAGGTACATGTGATTCTTTAAAAATGTTTGAGTCATTTTAGACACCTAAGTTATTTTAATTTGTGACTTATGAAAAGAGGAAAGGCTGGGTGTGGTGGCTCACATCTGTAATCCTAGCACTTTGGGAGGCCGAGACAGGAGGACTGCTTGAGGCCAGGGGTTCCAGACCAGCCTGGGAAACATAGCAAGACCCTCATCTCTACAAACAAAAAATTTAAAAATCAGCCAGGCGTGGCAGTAAACAACTGTAGTCTCGGATACTCAAGAGGCTGAGATGGAAAGATCACTTGAGCCCAAGAGTTCAAGCTTGCAGTGGGCCATGATCACGTCATTACACTCCAGCTTGGGTGACAGAATCAGACCATCTCAAAAAAAAAAAAAAAGGAAAAAATATTTATCTAATCATCTGAGGCCCAAGATATGGAGAAAAGCAACTTAGCACAAGCTCCCATGAGTCTCAGCCCAACATTTACAGAGCTCTTCAATCACAGATAGTTTTGCAGACTGAAAATGATTATTGGTAAAATGGACATAATAAAATATTTTCAGAGCCATTAACAGAATTAAAAGAGACTATATTCAAGGTGCCTAGAATAGGGCCTGGCATATTATGCATAATTAGTAAGTGCCAGTTGCTATCATCATCTATGATTTTTGGATTTAATTTAATCACACTGGGAAAAACTGAAGAGTAGAAGCAGCAAGAGACTCTCAAGCCTTTCTACTTCACTCAAGCCACAAACTGAAATTCAGCAAAAATTAGTTTGCTAAATGAAGAAGGGCAAAAATAGGATTATTTCTGATTCTATACTATGCTCTGTCTGGGATTTCTCTGTAAGGATTGCTGGCATGCAAAGCTCATTTTAAGGCTGATCCAGCAGAGGCAGATTAGCAAGTCAGAGTACTGGAAATAACCAATATGTGAAATACACACATTTGCTTCCACTTCCAGAGTAATCATCGATCAATGGATCAACTGAAGGTAAGCAGGAGGGAAAATACGAGAAGGGTCAAAGTTCAGGTTCAGCAGTGACACAGAGAGGGAACAGAGCATTTTTTGGCATTTGGGGAGATGAGAAAGTTAATATTTAGAATATGGTATCAATTTTACAAATGGTATTCATCTAAACTCAGACTCTAATCAATAAGAAGAATTAAACTAGAAGAGGCCTTAAAAATCTTATTAGAACTTTAAGGAATATAATATTAATTTTACACTCAAAAAATAAAAATATGCTTTACTAAACCAACCTATATTCTATTCATATATGAATAATCCATTTTACTCACTTTAGAGAACTTCTGAATAAGCCATTGTATAGGCACATCATGAGTTTTTTTAAGATACATTTTAATACAACATTGTAAAACAATACTCTCTGGAAGTGTAGTTCTTGAATTTCACAGGAATTGAACTTTCCCCTTCATATGTTCATAGACAGCAGGAGGCAATCCATCATTTTACAGGAGGAGGGGGCCATTCAAAGGAGAATCTTATCTGAAGGTAGGCTTGAATGGTGCATTTCTTGTATTACTGCCACTACACTAATCCAGAGTAACCCATGAAACAAAACCCAAAATTTCAAGTAACATTTCTATGAAGTAATTAACTGCTCAGTGATAACAGGTTTAAAATTCCAAATAAACTTCATTGCTGATCTAAAACAGAATTCTAACAAAAATACTAGCGACGTATTTGTGATTTAAAAACTAATTTCATGAGTTCAAACGGATAGCCTGGTATATGCTACATAAAGGAATCTAGAGATCATTTCCATTGAGTTTTTTAAGGGAAAAAAAAAATTTTTTTTTCACTACCATTTAGCTTCATCATGTTCCTTAACTTGAAGTTTATTTTAAATATAAGAACCCTGAATAAGAACCTTGAAGAAGAAAGGATTAGATTTTGTAATGATCCTTAATTCACTTACTATCAATAATATCTCCCAGGCCCTGAGCACGAAGAAGGTCCTTCAGTCGTGTCACCTCCTCCTTTAATTCACGAACCAGTTTGGCATTGGGGTCCTCATTGATAACAGCATTGCATTTAATTTGTTTTGCACGATCTGCGTATCTAGATCCAAAAAGAAAATTCATTCTTGTCATTTCTCATATGTTCTACTTCTCATAAGTAACATACTATTATTTCTAAATCAAATATCCTGAGTGTTTACATTTTATGAGCCTTCATAATAATACATCTATATAAAGCTTTGTAGTACCTATTAAAGATGAAGAAAAAGGCTCAGATGAATTTAAGTGATTTGCGCAAGATCACAATGGAAATAAATAACAGCGAGAGGACTTAAACCCAACTTATGAGACTGTATAGTATTCACTCCATTATATCAACTGTCTTTCATGGAAGAAGGGTAGAGAGTTCCAGACTGAAGTAATGAAACCTACTCATACATAAAAAATAGGCCTCAGGAGGCAGCTCACACCTGTAATCCCACCACTTTTGGAGGCCAAGTGGGGAGGATCACATGAGGCCAGGAATTTGAAACCAGCCTGAATAACATAACAAGACCCCCGATCCCTACGAGAAATTTTTAAAAGTCAGCCAGGCCTAGTGGCATGTGCCTGTAGTTTTAGCTACTTGGGAGGCTGAAGTAGGAGCATCACACGAGCCCAGATGTCTGAGGCTGCACTGAGCTACAATCTTGCCACTGCACTCCAGCTTGGGCCACACAGCAAAAGACTCCATCTCAAAAACAAAAACTAAAAAGCAAAAAAAACTTCTCATGAACATTCTGTTGTGTAATTTTTTTTTTTTTTTAAGAGACAGAGTCTCACTATGTTGCCTAGACTGGCCTCAAACTCCTGTGCTCAAGTGATCCTCCTGCCTCAGCTTTCCAAATAGCTGGGACTACAGGCACACACCACTGCACCTGGCTATGATGGTAATTTTTTAATATTGCTACATATTCCTATAATTTTTATTACTTATTATGACTTCAGCATTTCTTTTTTTTCCTTTTTTCTTTTCCTTTTTTTTTTTTTGAGACGGAGTCTTGCTCTGTCTCCAGGCTAGAGTGCAGTGGCGCCATCTCAGCTCACTGCAACCTCCGCCTCCCAGGTTCAAGTGATTCTCCTGTCTCAGCCTCCCAAGTAGCTAGGATTACAGGTGCACGGCACCACGCCCAGCTCATTTTTGTATTTTTAGTAAAGATGGGGTTTCACCATGTTGGCCAGGCTGGTCTCAAACTCCTGACCTCAAGTGATCTACCCACCTCGGCCTCCCAAAGTGCTGGGATTACAGGTGGGGGCCACAACGCCCAGCCGACTTCAGCATTTCTATAACGACAAACACCACAAGCAGGGTGGCACTTCTTTTTATAGAAATGAATATTATAAGAAAATGTCACTATTATCTAAAAGTTACCCAAAAATCTCACTTGAACAATTTAAAAATCTTTCCTATGAAAAAATTCCTGCCTTATCTAGGAATCCATGAGGGATAAAAAAATAAAAAGTTCATACCTTTCCCAATGAAACGGAAAACCATAAAGAGGTAAATTCTACTATAATACAATCACTTTTTCCCTAAGTTTTCCCTGTTATGAGAGGAAAGGAACATTATTTACATAAATAACTACCCAGACAGCATAAAAACATCCATGGTATCACAAAATGACATCTGATGGCAATGTGATCTACGTTGCTACTGAGATCAAAAGAAAGTACCTCAGAGTGCTCAAAGTCTCATCATAGTTGATATCCGCGGGGCTCAGAGCAGCAACCATTGCAGTCCGAGAATTGCCACCTAAAAAGATTAATCATGAGTATCTCAAGTCACACTCATTTTAAAAGAAAGAAAAATTTCATGGAATGTGTCAAATCTGAGGTTGCGATCTCAAATCCTAAGATTTAATGTAATGTCAAATCTCTTTCTTTTTTTTCTTTTTTTTTTTTTTTGAGAGGAAGTCTCACTCTTTCACCCAGGCGAGCGATCACTTGAGGTCAGGAGTTCAAGACGAACCTGGCCAACATGGCACAATCCTGTCTCTACTAAAAGTACAAAAAAGTTAGCCAGGCACGGTGGTGTGTGCCTGTAATCCCAGCTACTCGGGAGGCTGAGGCAGGAGGCTGAGGCAGGAGAACTGCTTGAACCCGGGAGGCGGAGGTTGCAGTGAGTCAAGATTGCACCACTGCACTCTAGCCTGGGTAAGAGAGCGAGACTCCATTTCAAAACAAAAAAAAAACAAAAAAAAGTAGAAGTGAACGAAGAACAGTGATTCGAAGGTCTGAAAACATCAGCAATGAGGAGGAATAAGGGTTGGCAATGTCTAATTTTGTGCACCTCAGAGGAGCATGGATTTTTGAAATATTGCTCGCTTTTGAAGAGCGAGCAATAATCTGAAACAGGTATGGGGAGTTGGGAAGACAATTACAGCACAGTTCATGCCCTGAAGTAAATGAGATATGGGAGTACACCCTGGCTTAAAATCAAGAGAATCCAACCAGCTGAAATTAGGAGTAAAAATGAAAGCAGGCAAGGAACACTCAAGTAGTAACATGAATATCTAGAGATTATTTGTCTCCAAAACAGACCTAGGACAATTAACCACAAAAGATAATCAAAGTGAAAAAGATAACTACTTTTCACTAGTGGTCAACATACCTAAATTTTCTCGAAGGAGCCAAGTAAGTACAGAATCCCTGTAGGGAATAAAATCCGTTTTCTTCTTCTTTTTACTCTATTAAAGGGAAAGGAATGGTCTTAGCATTTTTTGTTAGGGAAAAAAATTCCCAAGAAAGGCAAATCAGTCTAAAATTCCCAAGTAAATTAAATTACAGTACAACCCCAACACTGTGGAAGTTTATCATTCATAGTTTTAATTCTTCACAATACCAAAAACTCACGCAATAAGGTAATTTTTTCATTTTACATTTTATTTTGAAAACTGTGTAACATATTCAACAGTTGAGAGAGCAGTATAATGAGCTACCATACCCAACATGCAGCTTCAACCATTATCAATACTCTGCCAATCATCTTTCAATTAACCCCCAAACACTTTCTACAACTTTTTATTTTCCTGACCCATTCTGAAGTCAGTTGCAGACCTCATCTCCATTTACCCCTAAACACTTCAGCATATAAGAACATTGTCTTACACAGAAAACAATGACCAAGTTCAAAAAAGTAACATCAACACAATACTATTACCTAATATCCTGTCCATATCATTTTTTTTCTTTTTCTTACTGTGAAGGAAAAGGTCATGTTTTTTAAAAAAAAAAAAAAAGCCACAAGACCATTATCACACTTACCAAAATAAACAATAATTCCCTAACATCATCTAATACTCCATCCTCAATTTTTATTTTTGCAGAGGGGAGAATACTAATCCTGTACATTCCAGGTTGGATGTGTTGGAGCAAGTCATCTAGTTAGTGAATTTACTTGGCCAACCACCATGTCATTGGGTAGGTTTTTGCAAATCTAGCAACTCCTTTTTTTTTTTTTTTTTTTTTTGAGACGGAGTCTTGCTCTGGAGTGGTGGCGCAATCTCGGCTCACTGCAAGCTCCACCTCCCAGGTTCACACCATTCTCCTACCTCAGCCTCCTGAGTAGCTGGGCCTACAGGTGCCCGCCACCGTGCCCAGCTGATTTTTTATATTTTTTAGTAGAGACGGGGTTTCACCGTGGTCTCAATCTCCTGACCTTGTAATCCGCCCGCCTCGGCCTCCCAAAGTGCTAGGATTACAGGCGTGAGACCCCGCACCTGGCCAAATCTAGTAACTCTTGTAAAATAATACTCACTTGGTCTCTTTGAAAGGAAATTATGCCAAAAATAATCCAGTTATTAAAGCAAAGACTAAAAGTAAAAAGGTCTAAGAAAGTGATATGATTTGCTAATTTAGAAAGGTGAATGTTCTATTAAGTCTACTTATTCCGCTTTCTTCATGATCCTTCTTATTACCATAGGATAAAGCAAAAAGCACCAATGAAAAGGCAGTGCTGAAATGAAAAAAAATTATACTTCCTAAAAGTAAAAATTAATGCAAATGCTTTACAGGTAACAGCTATTCAAATACATGCTGGCTGATTACTGCGTTGTGTCACTTTAAGAAGCTACTAAGGGGAGGCTGGGCACAGTGGCTCATGCCTGTAATCCCAGCACTTTGGGAGGCCAAGGCGGGTGGATCACTTGAGGTCAGGAGTTCAAGACCAGCCTGGCCAACATGATGAAACCCCGTCTCTACTAAAAATACAAAAAATTAGCCAGGGGTGGTGGCGGGCACCTGTAATCTCAGCTACTTGGGAGGCTGAGGCAGGAGAATCGCTTGAACCCAGAAGGTGGAGGTTGCAGTGAGCCAAGATCATGCCACTGTGCCTCAGACTGGGCAACAGTGTGAGACTCAGTCTCCAAAAAAAAAAAAAAAAAAAAAAGAAGTTACTAAGGGGAAAGGCAGGGCCTCACTGATAAACACCGCTCCAGCAAATCAGCAGTTTTAAAATCCAGTCCTGGTATAATCCAAGGTTAAACTAAGGATGATCCTACTATCTGCACAAGCACTTTTTCTATTCAGAAAACGAGTACTACGTGGCTGGCCTCTTAGTGGCTGGTCTTGTGGGTTTTTTTTTTTTTTTTTTGAGGAGGTAAGGGAGTAGGCAAGAAGCATCTCTTATCAAATATGTCTACATCATCTCATTCCACTCTATCCACAAACACACAATCCACCAATCAGAAAGTCATTTCCAATAGCAGGTTCAATTTTAGATTGCACAGACCTCAAGGGAGAATTAAGCCTTTCGGTCATTCAGATTAGTGGAACAAACTTTCATTCCACTATGTAATCCTTGAGGCCTAAAACCTCAGTTTAAAACCCGTGAATAGTTGGGACACTATGGGCACACGCCACCGCACCCACCTAATTTTTGTATTTTTAGTAGAGATGGGGTTTCACCATGTTGGCCAGACTGGTCTCGAACTTCTGACCTCAAATGATCCGCCCGCCTCAGCCTCCCAAAGTGCTGGGATTACAGGCATAAGCCACCATGCCCGTCCTTGTTCCTTTATTCTTAATTCCTTCTCCAAAGCATATCATGTTCTATAAATTAATTTTGGTGTGAAATCTCATGATTTGTGGTCACTCTAAATTTACAGCCACTCTAAATTCCAGAGCCAGAAAACAAATGATGAAAACATTTTTAAAGGTTCCATTCCTACTTATGTCACCATACATCCTGGTGAAGATTTAAAACATAAAAGTCAATTCTAGTTTATCTCTACCAATCCCCACCATACCTTGCTAGTGCAGTTATCCTACAGGTGAAAGCATTTAAAAGAGAAAACAAGAACACAGGATAAGCCTCCAAGTAGAAAATGAGATTTTGTTTAAATTTCATGTCATAGATTATGACTTCTCCAAGGCAAGCAAGAAAGCATTTCATAATTCTTAGCAATTAAAATGAGGTTTTAAACTAAACTAGAACACACAATGACTAATTTAAATAATGTAGGCAATGAAGCCCCTAATTAAAAAAAGAGAATTTTTGTTTTAGCTTTACTGTTCTACCACTAAGGAGTAGGAAAAGAACAAAACTATTGGGAAAAAAACAAAACAAAACAAAAAACCTACTACTGGCTCTCAAATCAACAGCATTCACCAAAGCCAAACTGCTCAAAATACTCCAAAAGATACTGCATCCTACTCAGAAAACATTACACAGGAAAAGAAGAGACAATAAATCAACTTGGTTTTTGTGATAGACATAAAACAAGGCTCAAAAAAATCAGTCAAACCTTAGGTGTTTGCTCTAGTTTTTACAGATCTATATTTACTTTTGTTCTCCTTAGTCTCTTTTACTTGCAGTACAAAGTCAAACTGTTTTATACCTAGTATCTTATCTGAAAAGCTCTAAAAAGAGAAAGGCAAGATTACAGAAAAGGGCCACAAAAAGGCAGCCTTCATAAACAATAATAAAATATCATTAAGTATATTTGCTGAACAGACACAACTCCCCTTATTATGAAGCATAAAACTTACCACCTCGGCCAAGGCTGAAATGACTTTGCCCAAAGTTGTAAGAGACTTATTAATATTTGCTCCTTCCTAAAATAAATACCAAATATGAAAGAATGATGATGAAGAATTTCTACTACTGTCATATCATATACAACATAAAACATGATTTGCCATATGCTAGCATATTTCTTTATTATTACAAGTTCTAAAAACAACCTTTAGTCCTCAATCTATCCTCTTCTCCACTTGATAATAACATGCTGAGACCACAGGCCTAACTCACAGTCCTAAAGTATCTTCGAGATGTTTGTGCTCCAAAAGTTTACAGATGTGTGCAGCCTTCTTCCCTCAACTCATCAACATGAAACTTCTGTTCTCACATCTGAATACTGTACATCCTATTCCCATTGCCATGTCTTAATTCCATCTAGCCAAATTCTGCCTGTTCCTTAAAATGCAATTCAACTCTCACCCTGACTATGATGTCCTCCCTAACTATTTAGTTAGATAACTTATCCTTCTATTGAAGTTACAGATCAGGAGTCAGCAAAATTTTTCCATAAAAGGACAGACACAAATTATTTCAGGTTTTGTGGGCCATATGGTCTCTGTCACAACACTGCCATTGCAGTGCAAAAGCAGCCATAGACAATACATAAACAAATGTATGTAGCTGTGTTTCAATAAAATTTTATTTACAAAAACAGGTGGTGGCCATGGTTTGTTGTCCCATGGTATAGAACATTTACTGATCAGGCCATTTATTTGCTAAAATAAATACCTTTAATCGAGTCCCTTTGGCACCAGTTGAATCAGCTCGTTCACTTCCTGCTAGATCCACCAAGCTGATTTTACTGACCTGATAAAGAACAGTAACATGGGAGCAATTAAAAAATAAGCAAGATAGAGGCAGGAAATATTTAGAGGCAGAATGCTTTTTAAAAGATTAAGGTATGGAGAAAACTAAAAGTATTAGAGCTTTTAAATATGGCACAAAAAGATCAAGACAACACCTATCAGAGTCAGTTTAAACAGCACACACAGCAGGTGCAGTGGCACACGCCTGTAGTCCCAGCTACTCGGGAAGCTCCTTTCAGCCCAGGAGTTCAAAGCTGTCTACTACACTCCAGATTGGCAACATAGAAGACCCTGTGTCTTTAAAAAAAAAATTTTTTTTAATTAGTAAAAAAAGAGCGTGCACAAAATTCATAGCAATTACCACGGTTCAAAAAAAGTAACTTTAGTATAAACACGACATAGTTTACTAGAGTATGTTATAAAAATAAGTAAAACTCATCAACTCATTAAATGGCATACTAAAACTGAAGCTTTAAGCAACTGGAACTCTCACATATTGCTGGTGGGAATGTAAAATGGTACAATCACTTTGGAAAACAGTTTGATATTCCTTTTTTTTTTTTTTTTTTTTGAGACAGAGTCTTGCTCTGTCACCCAGGCTGGAGTGCAATGGAGCGATCTTGGCTCACTGCAACCTCCACCTCCTGGGTTCAAACGATTCTCCCGCCTCAGCCTCCCAAGTAGCTGAGCTTACAGGTGCCCACCACCACGTCCAGCTAATTTCTTCTTTTTGTATTTTTAGTAGAGATGGGGTTTTGCCATGTACACCAGGCAGGTCTCAAACTCCTGACCTCATGATCCACCCGCCTCGGCCTCCCATAGTGCTAGGATTACAGGTGTGAGTTGCCGCGCCTGGACTTGACATTTCTTAAGGAGCTACAATAAGACTCAATCATCCTATTCCTAAGCATTTACCAAGAGAACAAAAACAAATGTCCACACAAAGACTTGTACACAAATGTTCACAGCAGCTTCGTTTGTAATAATCAAAAACTGGGAACAGTTTAAAAGTCCATCAACAGTTGAATTAATAAACGGTGGTGTATCTGTATAATGCAATACTCATCAACAATGAAAAGGAACTATTGATAAACACAACAACATAGATGAATCTCAAAATCACTATGCTAAGTGAAAGACTCCAGACAAAAAAACAGCACATACTCTATGATTCCATTTATATAAAATTCTAGAAAATGTAAACTAATCTATACTGACAAAAGGCAGGTCCGGAACTGCCCAGGGATTGCCGTAGAAGGGATATAGAGAAAGACTACAAACAGGTACGAGGCAACTTTTGAGAATAATAGAAATTATCATTATCTGGATTGTGGCACTAGTTTCACAGGTATAAAAATATGTCAAAACTGACCAAATTTTACGCTTTAAATATGTGCCATTTACTGTATACTTCAATAATACCTCAATAAAGTTGTAAAAAAATAAAGCTTCAGGAAAGTTTAGACAAAAGTATCCAAAATGGACTACCAGGAAAGCTATGATTATGGGATTAACATTAATTTTGTAGATTTGACACCATGGGAGAAGGGCAAAAAACATTTTTTTTTTTTTTTTGAGATGGAGTCTCGCTCTGTCGCCCAGGCTGGAGTGCAGTGGCCGGATCTCAGCTCACTGCAAGCTCCGCCTACCAGGTTGACGCCATTCTCCTGCCTCAGCTTCCCGAGTAGCTGGGACTACAGGAGCCTGCCACCTCGCCCGGCTAGTTTTTTTGTATTTTTTTTTTTAGTAGAGATGGGGTTTCACCGTGTTCGCTAGGATGGTCTTGATCTCCTGACCTCGTGATCCACCCGTCTCGGCCTCCCAAAGTGCTGAGATTACAGGCTTCAGCCACCGCGCCCGGCCAAAACATTTTTATATACAATGTTCTTTACTGGCATTCAGATAAATACTAACTAATAAATAGCACTAACATTATAACCTCTGGCTAAGCAAGTTGTTTGATCACCTATATAAGAAGTTTGTTTTTTTTTTTTTTGAGATGAAGTTTTGCTCTTATCACCGAGGCTGAAGTGCAATGGCACGACCTCAGCTCACTGCACTCTCCGCCTCCCAGGTTCAAGCGATTCTCCTGCCTCAGCCTCTGGAGTAGCTGGGATTACTGGCACACACCACCATGAGCGGCTAATTTTTTGTATTTTTAGTAGAGACTGGGTTTCACCGTGTTGACCAGGCTGGTCTCGAACTCCTGATCTCAGGTGATCCTCCCGCCTCAACCTCCCAAAGTGCTTGGATTACAAGTGTGAGACACGGTGCCCAGCAGGAGTTTTTTGTTTTTTGTTTTTCTTTTTGAGACAGAGTCTCGCTCTGTCACCCATGCTGGAGTACAGTGGCACAATCTCGGCTCACTGCAACCTCTGCCTCCTGGGTTCAAGCGATTCTCCTGCCTCAGCCACTTGAACAGCTGGGACCACAGGCATGCACCACCACGCCCAGCCAATTTTTTTGTATTTTTAGTAGAGACAATGTTTCACCATGCTGGCCAGGCTGGTCCCGAACTCCTGACCTCCTGACCTCCTGATCCGCCCACCTTGGCCTCCCAAAGTTCTGGGATTACAGGCATGAGCCACTGCGCCCAGCCTAGCAGGAGTATATTTTTAAAAATCATTTTCAGCTAGAAATAAGTCAACAAATAAAAGGTGATTCTAATAATTGTTGACAGTGGTATCTAAAGTACTCATTTTATAAGGCAAAGGATCTTTTATAATTGCCAGTACAATAAACCTAACTTCAAGTTTAAAAATCCAGTTGCATCCTTCTTAGGAATGTAGATAGAGTAGTATTCAACATAAATTTTTTATTACTAACAATAAGATTGACATTACTGAGTGGCTACTCTGTGCCAGACATTATTGTATGCACTTAACCTATATTAACATGTAATCCTTTTAACAATCCTATCAGGCTGTTATGGATGGGGAAACTGAGGAACAAAGAGGTTAAGCAGTTTGCGCAAAGTAACATAGCTGAAGAGTGGCAGAATAAGAATTCAAAGCAAGGAATCTAACTCTAAAGTCTGTGACATTTAACCACTATAGAAAATGAAAAATCAATAAGCAAGAAAGGTATTTGAAGAACATCAGAACTGTTGTGGAGTTACTTTCCAGGAATAAAACATATCATTTGCTTCAACATTTAATCCCACTATAACAGTATCATAGCTCAAAAAAAAAAAAAAAAAAAGAATACACAGACCAAAGGCAACTAACATAGTAATAATAAAAAGGTTCAGTCAAGAAGAAGAAAAGAAAGAACTTTCTCCCACAAGACTGCTTAAATGTCTTGTATTGAGTAGTTTTTGAGACCCAAAGTCCTGGATTTTTTTTTTCCTAACTCTATTCTCTATCTTGCAACTTCATTTAAGAATCTATACAGAAAACTGGTGTAGGGTGGAAGAAAAATTTAAAACACCCTCCATCAAGTAAAAGAGCACCTCCCAACACCCAACCTTCCACAAACAGCAGAGGGCAACAAAAGGAACTTCTCAAAATCTCCATTCTTCATAACTCAAGCCTACAGACTGAAGTTCTCCTACCTTCTCAGTGGAAAGGTTGGTCTCATTATCGTGTTTCTTCTGGGTGAAAACAATCGTAAACACAGCGTGGGAACGGCTACTTGTTTCATTCATGTTCGTAGCTGCCACTGTCCTAAATAAACATAAAGGTGACCACGTGACAATGGAATTCTTAGATGAGAGTTGAAATGGACAGCAGGCTCCACATTATAAGCATAACAATCACAAGCAATAGTCTTAAACTTATTCACAGATTGCAAGACTGTCACTTACACAACTGCTCTCAATACTGCCTTATTTGTGAGCCCATCAAGTTCCAAAGGCACCCCATCAGAATCATTTTTCATACTCCAGCTATCCCTTTAGAAACCAATGAAGCATTTAATTTTTATTCTTTATTGGTGCTCATTTATTCCAGAATCAATTACTACCATAGCCACATATATACATGGTAACTAACATTTTACCATGACTTGATGAAGACCTAAGAGTAAAACTTAACCAGAGCTCTAACATGTTTCAGCAATGCACTGTTTAGATGGAAGAAAGACACTTAACCCAACACGCTGAAGCCCTCACTGTTACAGCACAGTCAAAGGATCAGAGGACTCTACAATAAAAGCAACTTTCATAGCTATAAATGTGGCTTCAAACACTTAACTGGGAAAAAAGGACCTCAAAAGGTGCCAAAGACCTCAGTCATTACTCTATTTCCCACCATACCTGGCTTTGTTCCCAGCATCCATGAGGTCAGCAATGTCTGTGTAGGAAGTAACTGCCAACTTGGACAGATCCTCCACATAGGGTCCAAGAAGTGGGTGTTCACGCACACGCAAATTACCCTTGTTTTTTGGATTCAGTAAATCTCGTACTCTCTCACAGTAAATTTCCATGTAGCTCACCTATGAACAAATTAGTAAAGTGAATTAGAGAGAAAAAGAAATCACATACAGAGGCCGGGTGCGGTGGCTCACGCCTGTAATCCCAACACTTTGGGAGGCCAAGGAGGGCGGATCACTTGAGATCACTCGAACTAGGAGTTCGAGACCAGCCTGGCCAACATGGTGAAATCCCGTCTCTACTAAAAATACAAAAAGGAGTCAGGCGTGGTGGCGCATGCCTGTAGTCTCAGCTACTCGGGAGGCTAAGGCAGGAGAAATCGCCTGTACCTGGGAGGTGGAGGTTGGAGTGAGCCGAGATCATGCCACTGCACTTCAGCCTGGGTGACAGAGTGAGACTCTGTCTTTAAAAAAAAAAAAAAAAAAAGAAAGAAAGAAAAGAAAAGAAAAAGAAAACAAAAGAAATCACATACAGAACAAAAAAATTTTTTTTACTTTTATTAAAAGTTCTAAAATTAGAGATCAGCAACCTTTACAAAGTTAAATGCCATAACCCTAGTTTTATTCTATTAACAACACACACAGATCATCACACTGCATAGGGTAGAACCAGCCTTCAGACTTTCTCTGTAAGGGAGAGGTAAACAGATTATCTCTGGAATGTAGTGACTGCTAAAAGATATTTGAGTAGCAATTTATCAGTTATCAATGTTTTTTAAAATGTATACTATTGTCAGTAACTGGGATTTGCATTGAGGTTACTCCAAGAACTTGGAAATAAGACTTCTATTAGAGTTAAAACCAAGGAACAATATAAATATTAGAGAGCAGAGAAGACAAAACAGACAGGTGATGCTAATTCTTTAAAGCTCACCAAACTGTTACTATGGACAATGTATCCACCAGAAGAGATGAGGGTTGACCAGCATGAAAGCTGGTGGTGGCAGGACCTATCCAAGATCTGTGAGGGAGAAAGAAGCCTCAGACAACACACTTGTCTGAGACATAAATTCTTGTCTCATTGGCAGGACCATTCGATCATGGTGATTAATGCATTAAGCTATCATTTCTTAACCTGGGGCAATTAAACACGTATCTAAGCAACTCCTCTCCCTCTAATTCCATGCACACCAAACAACCAACAGGGTTCCAACAGAGAGGTCTGTCCACAGAGAGATAATATATTAAATAGTCTTGCAAATGGCTTGAGTGTTCTAGCCTTAGTAATAGTTATTTCTCACGGGAAAGTTAACAAACCAACAAGTTGGTTTCATAACATCAGTCAAATGAGCTTTACTCAAGTCTTAACTTTTAAGGACAGTCCTTTTCTTGATGAATCTACAAAATCAGACTTCTAAGCAAACAAGGCTCTGAACTAGGGTAAATTCATCACAATAGGCCACATTATGATGCTACCCAGGAAACAGATCCTTCTGTATCATGGAGCTATTCAAGCTTACACTACAGCTCCTGCATTTTTAAACTTTAAATGTCTATGGACACATTTTCAGAGTATCTGGAATGGAACCTTAATTCCATTTCTATTGCCGTTTTCTTTCATTCAGTCTCTAACTGTATTTTTATACTGTATTTTATTTTTATTTTTATATATTTTTTGAGACTGTATCTTACTCTGTCACCCAGGCTAGAGTGCAGTGGCTCAAACACGGCTCACTGCAGCCTCGACTTCCTGGGCTTAAGCAATCCTCCTGCCTCAGTCACTGGAGTAACTGGGACTACAGGCACATAACACCACACCTAGCTAATGAAAAAAAAATTTTTTTGCAGAAACACGGTCTCACCGTGTTGCCCAGGCTGGTCTTGAACTCCTGGGCTCAAGCAATCCTCCCATCTCAGCCTCCCGAAGTGCAGGGATTCCAGGCGTGAGCCACCACACCCGGCCTTATTTTGTATTTTAAAATCAATTAAAGGTCGGACGTGTTGGCTCACGCCTGGAATCCCTGCACTTTGGGAGGTTGAGGTGGGCAGATTGCTTCAGCTCAGGAGTTCGAGACCAACCTGGGTAACATGGTAAAACCTCATCTCTACCAAAAATACAAAGAATTAGCCAGGCATGGTAGTGTGTGCCTGTGGTCCTAGCCACTCGGGAGGCTGAGATGGGAGGATCACTCAAGCCCAGGAGGTTGGTGATGCAGTAAGCCGAGATCATGCCACTGCACTCCAGCCTGGGTGACAGTGAGATTCTGTCTCTAAAAATAAATAAAACATAAAATAAAATAAAATAATAAAATCCATTTTAAAAAAATTGAGAACTTGGCCAGATGCAGTAGCTCATTCCTGTAATCTCAGCACTTTGGGAGTCACGCACTGTGGCAGATGCTTGTGGTGCAAATAACTCAGGAGGCTGAGGCAGGAATATCACTGAGCCCAGGAGGTCAAGGCTGCAGCGAGCCCTGTTTGCACCCTTGCATTCCAGTCTGGGTAACAGAATGAGACCTTGTCTTAAAAAAAAAAAGAAAAGAAAAAAAAGTCAGGTGCAGTGGCTCACACCTATAATCCCAGCACTTTGGGAGGCCAAGGCAGGCGGATCACGAGGTCAGGAGTTCGAGACCAGCTTGGACAACTGGTGAAATCCTGTGTCTACTAAAAATACAGAAAATTAGCCAGGTGTGCTGGCAGGCGCCTGTAATCCCAGCCTCTCAGGAGCCTGAGGCAGGAGAATTGCTTGAACCTGGGAGGCGGAGGTTGCAGTGAGCAAATACCATGCCACTGTACTCCAGCCTGGGTGAGAGTGAGACTCCGTCTCCAAAAAAAAAAAAAGACAACCCTGAAAGCTAAAGTAATTAATCTATTATGAGAGTAAAATAACAGAACAATAAATATTCTTTCTGACAGCAAGTCATCCTAGAAAGTGAGATGATTCTTCAATCATTGCTATGTACTTAAATGTGTACATACAATCCTGAATCCCTGGAATATATTACATCTTTTGGAACACTCGTCCCTTTTCACACAAATGTGAGACAAAGAGAACCCAAATAATCTGGGTAAAAGTTCATGTGCTTCATTCCTTATTCTGATATGTGAATCCATCCAAAGCCATCATTTCTTTTACTTCTGCACTAACCACTCCAGATGCGACCTGGCAAATCCAACTCACTGAGGACTGTTCTCTTACAGGCACTAGGCAATTGGTATACATCACTAAATAAAACAGACAAAGAACCCTCCCCCAGTGAGCTTATGCTTCTAGCAAGGGACACTGATCATAAACAACAAACATAAAAAATAAGTAACTGAGAAAGCATGTTAGAACATGATGAGTACGATGGAAAAAAGAAAATAGAACAGGGGAAGAGAGCTCAGGATGTGGGGTAAAGGGCAAGATACAGTATTAAATAAGGTAGTCAAGGTAAGCCTCACTAAGAGTGTGTGATTTAAGCAGACTTGAAGAATGTGATTTAAGCAGACTTGAAGAACGTGAGAAACTTAAGTCAAAATGACATACAAGCGAACAACATTTCAGGCAGGAAGAGAAGTAAATGTAGAGGCCTTGAAGCAGGAATGTTTCTGGTATGTTCTTGAAACAGCAAAAAAGCCAGTATGGGTGAAGCAGAGTAAACAGGGAAGGAAGTAAAAGAGGCAGGTAGAGAGGTCCCGCAAATGTAGCAAGAAACCACAGTGTCAATTAGGAACCTATGCTCCACTCCAAGTTAAGCCTGGGAACTCGAATAAGAAAGAAAAGAGCATCTTCTTTTATTATCTGTAAGCTCAAAAATTCTATCACCTGATTCAAAAAAAGTATAACTATGGGACAAGCAGAAAATTCATTTTAATGAAAATATGCTTAGGGCAGCACATTCTCTTTTTGGTATATGACAGTCACAAGACAGAATTCCTTAGAATTTACACATTTATGCAACACCTTATAGGTGAAGAAAAAACTCCAAAGCAATTAAATGAATTAACTAGGAATGAAATGCTGTAAGCCTACAGAGAATCACAACATATGCCAAAAAGAAAAGAAAAAAAATCTCGAGATTGCTTAAAAGGCAGCCTATTTTTTCAAAACAGACTCATGGTAACAGAACACTTTAATAATTTCAGTTACTATGAAAGCGAATACCAAAAAAGGGTGTGGTGGCGGGGGGGTGAGAGAGAGAGGGAGGGAGAGAGAGAAACAGCAGTTATTTTCTTTTTTTTTTGAGACAGACTCCAGGCTGGGTGCACTGGCATGATCTTGGCTCACTGCAACCTCTGCCTCACCGAGTTCAAGGGATTCTCCTGCCTCAGCCTCCTGAGTCACTGGGATTACAGGTGTGCACCACCACAGCCAGCTAATTTTTTTGTGTTTTTAGTAGAGACGGAGTTTTGCCAGGTTGGCCACGCTGGTCTCAAACTCCTGGCCTCAAGTGATCCATTCACCTCCTGAAGTGCTGGGATCACAGGTGTGAGCCCCAAAACAACTTCTTAAAGCACATACAAAACAGAAAGAATATTTATCAAATAAGTAAATGTGTATAAAGTAATTCTATAGACTTCATGAAAGAGCCAGGGTAAACACAGGATGGATAATTACTTTCCAAGTTTTTATTAGCAATTTAAAAAGTAGGAAAGGGGAAGATTTGATTATATATATTTAAAACCTATGCCTGTCAAAAACCATTATTAACAATATTAAAGGAGAAGAGTTCCCACAAATGAATCAGAAAAACACTGTGAACCCAATGCATACGAACAAGCATATGCATAATTTATAAGATGTTCAACCACACTAATAATCAAAGAAATTCAAATTTAAGTAAGAGAATACTTACATTATCAAATTAGCAAAGATTAAAAAACTGAAAAATGTTGGCAAGGACACAGTGGGTGCTTACACCCTCCTGATGTGATTGAAAACTGTTACACAGCATTACTTTCCAAAAAGGCATTTGGCAATTCAAATGTATTATTTAAAAACCAAGAAACATACAAAAGATAATAACTGAAAATAAATGCACAGACTTATCAACAAAGATTTAATTGTGGCTGGGCTCAGTGATTCACACTGTAACCCTAGTACTTTCAGAGGTGGAGGAGGCAAGATTGCTTGAGCCCAAGAGTTCAACACCAACCTGGGCAACATAGGGAAACTCCATCTCTACAAAAAAATCAAGTATCCAGGGGTGGTGGTGGCACACACCTGTTATCCCAACTATTTGAGAAGCTGAGGGGGTAAGATCGCTTGGGCCCAGAAGGTCAAGGCTGCAGTGAGCTGTGATCATGCCACTGCACTCCAGAGCCTGGGCAAGAGTGAGACCCTGTCACCACCAGGCACTCCCCCAAAAAAAGATTAAAGCAGGACACTATTCATTATACCCCAAACCCAGAAACAGCCTAAAAGGACAAAAATGAAGGAATGGTAAAGTGATCTGTACCACAGTCATAATTTGGAGCCATTTAAGTGATGCTTGAGAGAATGGAAAACAAGGGCCTATGGTGTCAACCCACGGCTGTACTCACCTCTACAGAGTAAGACATTTCTTCATTACAGTTGTCATTGATTTTCTCAAAGAGTTCTTCACATAACTAGGGAAGCAGAATGAGAGAGGCATGAATAGCCCAAATGAGAGGAGTATTAAGTTATCCATGCATGCTCAATGAATTAGCCAGACGTCCTTTCTCACTCTGTCTCAAAACATATTATGTCATAAACATCAAGATATGATTAATGCTTAGAATAAAGTCAGTCATGCACCGCATAACCATGATTTGGTCAATGATGGACTGCATATATGAGAGTGAGCTCCCTAAGATTATAAGAAAGCTGGAAAATTCCTATCACCTAGTGATATCTTGATGATACTGACCCTGTGTAGGCCTAGGCTAATAAATGTGTATCTTAGTTTTTAACAAAAAAGTTTAAATTTTTTGGCCAGGCGCGGTGGCTCAAGCCTGTAATCCCAGCACTTTGGGAGGCCGAGACGGGCGGATCACGAGGTCAGGAGATCGAGACCATCCTGGCTAACACGGTGAAATCCTGTCTCTACTAAAAAAATACAAAAAACTAGCCGGGCAAGGTGGCAGGCGCCTGTAGTCCCAGCGACTCGGGAGGCTGACGCAGGAGAATGGCGCAAACCTGGGAGGCGGAGCTTGCAGTGAGCTGAGATCCGGCCACTGCGCTCCAGCCTGGGCGACAGAGCCAGACTCCGTCTCAAAAAAAAACAAAAAAAAAAAGTTTAAATTTTTTTTCAAAAATTAAAAATTTGGGCTGGGAGTGGTGGCTCATGCCTGTAATCCCAGCACTTCCGGAGGCCAAGACAGGCAGATCACAAGGTCAGGAGATCGAGAACACCTTGGCCAACATGGTGAAACCCCATCTCTACTAAAAATACAAAAATAGTCCCAGCTATTCTGGAAGCTGAAGCAGGAGAATAGCTTGAACCCTGGAGGCGTAGGCTGCAGTGAGCCAAGATTGTGCTACTACACTCCAGCCTGGGTAAGAAGAGTGAAACTCTGTCTTAAAAAAAAAAAAAATTGGCCAGGTGCAGTGGCTCACGCCTGTAAATCTCAGCACTTTGGGAGGCCAAGGCAGGCAGATCACTTGAGGCCAAGAGTTCAAGACCAGCCCGGCCAACATTGTGAAACCCCGTCTCTACTAAAAATACAAAAATTAGCCAGACGTGGTGGTACGTGCCTGTAGTCCCAGCTCTCAGGAGGCTGAGGCACAAGAATTGATTGAACCCAGGAAGCGGAGACTGCAGTGAGTGAGACAGTACCACTGTACTCCAGTCTAGGTGACAAAGCAAGACTCTGTCTCAAGAAAAAAAGAAAACTAAAAAATACAAAAAAGCTTATAGAATAAGGATATGAAGAAAGAAAACATTTTTGTACAGCTGTACAATGTGTTTGTGAGTGTGGTTTTTTTTTTTTTTTTTTTTTTGAGACGGAGTTTCACTCTTGCTGACCATGTTAAAGTATAATGGCGCGATCTCGGCTCACTGCAACCTCCGTTTCCTGGGTTCAAGCAATTCTCCTGCCTCAGCCTCCCAAGAAGCTGGGATTACAGGCATGCGCCACCATGCCCGGTTCATTTTTTTGTATTTTTAGTAGACAGGGGGTTTGGCCATGTTGGTCAGGCTGGTCTCAAACTCCTGACCTCTGGTATCCACCTGCCTTGGCCTCCCAAAGTGATGGGATTACAGGTGTGAGCCACCATGCTGGGCCTGTTTGTGTTTTAAACTAAAGGTTATTATAAAAGGATCAGAAAGTTTAAAAATTTTTAAAGTTTATAAAGTAAAAAGGTTACAGTAATTTAACTAACGTTAATTTATTATTGAAAGGAAACTGTTTCTAAAACTAAATTTAGTGTAGCCTAAGTGTGCAGCATTTATAAAGTCTACAATAGTGTACAGCAATGTCCTAGGCCTTCACATTCACTCACCACTCACTCACTGACTCACCCAGAGCAACTTCCAGTCCTGCAAGCTCCATTGTAAGAGCACTATGCAGGTGTGCCATTTTAAATCTTTTATATCATGTTTTTACTGTACTTTTCTAGTTTAGATACACAAATACTTACCATTCTATTATAATTGCCTATTCAGTACAGTAACATGCTACACAGGTTGACAGCCTCGGAGCAACAGGCTATACAATGTAGTCTAGGTATGCAGTAGTTTATACCTTGTAGGGTTTGTGTAAGTACACTCTATGATATTTGTACAACGACAAAAGCACCTAACAACTAATGATGCATTTCTCAAAATGTACCCCCACCCTTAAGTGATGCATGACTATAAAAGTAAAATTTTAAATACAATCTTCTCACTTAATCTTTTTTTTCCTTAAGTTTTTAGGCCCCGCACAGTGGCTCATGTCTGTAATCCCAGCACTTCCAGAAGTCAAGGTAGGCAGATCATCCTGAGCCCAGGAGTTTGAGACCAGCCTGCACAACATGGTGAGATCCTGTCTCTACAAAAAAATTTTAAAGGCTGGGCACGGTGGCTCATGCCTGTGATCCCTGCACTTTGGGAGGCCGAGGCGGGCAGACTGCCTGAGGTCAGGAGATTCAGACCAGCCTGATCAACATGGTGAAACCCCGTCTCTACTAAAAATGGCTGGGCATGGTGGCGGGCACCTATTGTCCCAGCTACTCGGGAGGCTGAGGCAGGAGAATCGCTTGAACCCAGGAGGCGGAGGTTGCAGTAAGCCAAGATGGAGCCACTGCACTCCAGCCTGGGCAACAGAGCGAGACTCTGTCTCAAAAAAAAAAATTTTTTTTATTGAAAAATTAGCTAGGTGTGGTGGCACATTGCTGTAGTCCCAGCTACTCTGGAGGCTAAGGCAGGAGGATCACTTGAGCCTGGGAGGTCAAGGCCTCAGTGAGCCATGATCGCACCACCGCACTCCAGCAAGAGCAACAGAGTGAGACCCCGTCTCAAATAAGTAAGTAAATAATGAAGTTCTTTTTAAATACTTATGTCTTTCACCATTAAATCCTAAGTGAAACAAATAATGAAAATAAAAATAAATAAATATCTATGTCAGAACTCTTCTTCATTCCCAAACAATAAAGGATCAAATCCAGTAATATTAACTGCTCTAAAAAAAAAGAGGGAGAATCTCAGAGTGTTTGACGTTTAAAGTAATAGTATTAAATTAGGAAAATAAAATGAAAGTATCTCCGAATAAGGCTATCAAAAAAACAAAAAATAATCACATTCTTCAGAGGTGATGGAATTTGGAAAAAAATCAGATCAACAATATTCCCCAGGGATCTCCAGGACTTAGAACAGAGCTTTAACAAGCTGGTAACACTTTTCAAATGATAAAATAATATGGTATTGGATATATGGCAAAATCATTACAAAACACTGACTTTCCCACCTTTAATGACAGACATGTGTACATGTCAATCCTTCCCATTCAACTGTAAGCTCTTCTGAGGGAAAATAATGGGTTGTTCATCTTTGTGCCTGACATAAAATAATCCCCGAATAAATGTTCGTCAAATAAAAATAACTGTTAAAGCAATTTAAGACTAACAGTAATAATGAACAGAAGATTTGTGTTTTGTTTTGTTTTTCACCTGTGGAATGATGCCAGCCTGGCTTTCTTCTTGTTTACCCATCATTGTATAAGATTTTCCAGCACCAGTCTGCCCATAGGCAAATATACAGACATTATATCCCTCAAAGGCGTGTAAGAGCATTTCCTTGCCAATGTCATTGTACACACGGTTTTGAGATGCAAAACAGGGATCTTCGGGCTGTAAAGAGTAAAAGGAGAAATAAATGACCTTCTATTCGTATTTCTTCCTATACTTACTTGATTGCTTCCATAATAAACAAAAGCGTCTGGAATCAGAACAGTCACCTAAAATTCACTACATATTTTTTAAGCCCCCTATACACAAGTTTATTTTTCTCATTAAATACACGTGCGCGCGCACACACACACACACACTCACAAACACATGCACTATTACAGTCATCCAGGTCAGTCATACATAAAAATATCTATATAAAATTATCTGGCATGATTACATTTCGTTTTCTATAACCTTAAAGGTATCACTCTTTCATTCACAGAGCCAAGATTTTCTTAAGTGGAAAATGACAATAAAAGACCAAAGGTCAAAGTCCACATATAAAAATACTTCTTTGAACTCACTCCAGCTACTGGGCTGTTTCTCAATAAACATAGCTTTCAGGAAACAGCGTTTCCAATCCCCTTCTCAGTCCCTTCCCTTGACAATTAGGCTTTGTCAATAGTTTATTGACATCTATTCCCCAGGGCCGGGCACAAGTGGCTCATGCCTGTAATCCCATCACTCTGGGAGGCCAAGGTGGGCAGATCACTTGAGGACAGGAGTTCGAGACCAGCCTGGCCAACATGGCGAAACTCCATCTCTACTAAAAATTCAAAAAATTAGCCAGGTGTGGTGGCACCTGCCTGTAATCCCAGCTATTCAGGAGGCCAAAGCAGGAGAACTGCTTGAACCCGGGAGACGAAGGTTGCAGTGAGCTGAGATCACGCCACTGCACTCCAGCCTAGGCAATGCAGTGAGACTCAGTCTAAAAACAATAAATAAATACAAAACAGGAAAAATAAAACCAAAAACATGTAACAAAGTGATGAACGATGCAGAAGTAAACTCTATCAACAATCCGTAAGAAGCAGCAACATTTGGGGTTCCACACTAAGTAAGGGTGCCAGGAAGGGCCCTACTCTGCATTTTCCTAAATATTGGTAATCTTTTGGGGGAATTCCCTTGTGGATCTGCAGCCTCTTTCCTTTTTTTTTTTTTTTTGAGACAGAGTCACCTTCCATCACCCAGGCTGGAGTGCAGTGGTGCAATCTCGGTTCACTGCAACCTCCACCTCCTGGGTTCAAGCAATTCACCTGCCTCAGCCTCCCAAGTAGCTGAGATTACAAGCACCCGCTACCAAGCCCACCTAATTTTTTTTTTTTTTTTTTGGAATTTTTAGTAGAGGCAGGGTTTCATCTTTCAAAATGTTCAAAACCCGCATAGCTCTACCACAATTTAAAAAAAAAAAATTGGCCAGGCGTGGTGGCTCATGCCTTTAATCCCAACATTTTGGGAGACCAAGACAGGTGGATCAGGAGGTCAGGAGTTCAAGACAAGCCTGGTCAACAACAACAACAAAAAAAACAATTTCTCTATAGTTATTCCAATCTTGCTGGCCATTTCCTCAAAATTCAACTTAAAATTAACAGTACTCTAAGCAATTTTAATTTGGCATTTCCGGCCAGGCGCAGTGGCTCACACCTGTAATTCCAGCACTTTGGGAGGCAGACACGGGTGGATCACTTAAGGTCAGAAGCTCGAGACCAGCCTGGCCAAAATGGTCAAACCCTGTCTCTACTAAAAATACAAAAATTAGCTGGGCATAGTGCTGTGCGCCTGTAATCCCAGCTACTTGGGAGGCTGAGGCGGCAGAATCACTTGAACCTGGGAGGCGGAGGTTGCAGTGAGCTGAGATGGCTCCACTGTACTCCAGCCTGGGTGACAGAGTGAAATTCCGTCTCAAAAGAAAAATAATAATAATTATTATTATTATTTGGCATTTCCTAAGATCAATGGGCAATAATGTTGGTAATGAGGATCCTAAGATACTGATAAATAAATCTTTGAGAAATGTCTAAATCAGTATAAATTTAGTGTACATGCAGTGTAAATTTGGTGTAAACTAAATACGTTCTATATGTATATATGTGTATATATTTATGTATAAATGTGTGCATAAACTTTCCATCAACCCAAATACTTTATGAATGAAAATACTACATCACTATATCAAAGAATGAACTCATGCTAGACAACACTAAAGAAGCAAAACTTGGAACTGCTCAGCTAAGAGGAAAGACAAATTGGCAAGGAAAGAGGAAAGGAGGCAGGAGCTGGAAGCACTGTGGCATGAGGGTACTCACCGAGGTATGAGACCAGTAGGAATAGTCGAAGCTGAAGGACTTTGGAGCTTCCTTTGGATTCTTTGGGTTAATAATACCTAGAAGATAAAAACGTTTCATTGTATAAGTCACTCAATTACTAGTTCTTTAGTTAAACACGTTATTCTGTGTGTTCAAAACATCCCAATCAGTAAATTCATACCACTAAATCTGAATAGGGCAACCAAAAATTAATAGGCTTGGCTCAGTGACTCATGCCTGTAATCTCAGCATTTTGGGAGTCCGAGTCGTGTGGATCACTAGAAGTCAGGAGTTCAAGACCACCCTGGGCAATATGGTGAAACCCTGTCTCTACAAAAAAATACCAAAAAAAAAAAAAAAAACTAGCTGAGCATGGTGGCACACGCCTGCAGTCCCAGCTACTTAAGAAGCTGAGGTGGGAGGATGGCTTGAGCCTGGAGGTTTGAGGATGTAGTTAGCTGTTATTAAGCCACTGCACTCCAGCCTATTTTGAGACCCCGTCTCAAAAAGGAATGAATGAATGAAAATAATCATAGTTTTAAGAGGTAATTTATACATGGAACTTGAAAAACCAGACCAACAGCATTAACTGCGTGTTACCAGTATTCAGAACAGACACTGCTATAAAGTAGATGCTCAGTAAATATTCTGTGACAATGTTTATCCTCCTGAGGTAAGTTAGCAGCCAAAATTTGGAAATGAACCACATTTCTATTCTTTTCTTTCTGAAGACAGAATCTTGCGCTATTCCCCAGGCTGGAGTGCAGTGGTGCGATCTCAGCTCGCTGCAACCTCCACCTCCCGGGTTCAAGAAATTATTCTGCCTCAGCCTCCCAAGTAGCTGGGATTACTGGCACCCACCACTACAACCGGCTAATTTTTGTATTTCTAGTAGAGACAGGATTTCACCATGTTGGCCAGGCTGGTCTCGAACTCCTGATCTCAGGTAATCTGCATGTCTCGGCCTCCCTAAGTGCTGGGATTATACGCATGAGCCACCGCACCTGGCCCACATTACTATTTTAAGGCACCTGTTAGGCCTTGAAATACTGGAACACATCAGAAACGGGGCTGGGCGCGGTGGCTCACGCCTGTAATCCCAGCATTTTGGGAGGCCAAGGCAGGTGGATCACTTGAGGTCAGGAGTTTGAGACTGGCCTGGCAAACATGGTGAAATCCTGTCTCTACCAAAAATACAAAAATTATCCAGGAATAGTGGTGTGTGCCTATAATCCCAGCTACTGGGGAGGCTGAGGCAGGAGAACCACTTGAACCCAGGAGGCAGAGGTTGCAGCAGAGGTTGCAGTGAGCTGATATCAATGTACTGCACTCCAGCCTGGGTGACAGAGTAAGACTTCATCTCAAGAAAAAAAAGAGAAATGAAAATTAGAAAATTATTGAATGAGTCCAACTACTATTTGAAAGAAGCTTTTTTTTTTTTTTTGAGACGGAGTCTTGCTCTGTCGCCCACGCTGAAGGGCAGTGGCACAATCTCGGCTCACTGCAAGCTCCGCCTCCCGGGTTCACGCCATTATCCTGCCTCAGCCTCCTGAGTGGCAGGGACTACAGGCGCCCACCACCATGCCCGGCTAATTTTTTTGTATTTTTAGTAAAGACGGGGTTTCACCATGTTAGCCAGGATGGTCTCCATCTCCTGACCTCGTGATCCGCCCACCTTGGCCTCCCAAAGTGCCGGGATAACAGGTGTGAGCCGCCACGCCTGGCCATGAAAGCTCTTTAAAGATCTTACTATGTACTTCAGAAAAGCATTTGGTAATGAAGCATTTATTACAAATATAGTGTTATTTCTGAAATCTAAGGTTGATGAGTATGTAAATGATTAGAGTGTGTGTATGTATGTAATGTAGTATATAGTGGATCACAGACTAAGTCACTTTGGAGTGTAATTAACTGCGTGTTACCAGTATTCAGAACAGACCCTTAGTAGATGCTCAGTAAATATTCCGTGATAATGTTTATCCATCCTAGGTAAGTTAGCAGCCAAAATTTGGAAATGAACCACATTACAGCAAAATTACTTTTTTGACTGAAATGCATGAAATCTCACTACCTACATTAAAAGTGATTTCTCGTGTCATTAATCCAGTCACACTATATTTCAGGGACTGACTATGAATGCTAAAGCTTAATCTTTCTCCCTCACTCATATACACAAACCTTTAGTTCCTCAGATTTCACATGAAACAGAATCTTTATGGCACGTGGTCATGAAATCTCCTCAAAGACTGGACATCTCAACCAATCCACTCCTTTGAGGGAAGGCCACATCCCAGGCTGTTAGTGAGATCAGGATTAAAAAATAAATCTGTCTCAGACAGCTGTTGCTCAGTACACAAATAGCAACAGTTGCTACGGTGCTTAGTTCTCTCTCTTGCTGGATTCCACTGGGCATAGCCACGCATTTATGTTCCAACCTCAAATGCTGACAGAGTATTTATTAATAAAGCTCACACTGTACATAATCATGTGACAAGGAGACATGGTTCTAGAAAGAACATCTCTCCACATGCAAATGGTAATCCAAGCAAAGAAGTGTACTTCTAACCAAAGAGGTATTAAATACAAGATTTAAAAACCAGCTAACATTCACAGAACACTTACTCTGAGCCATAAGTACTTTGTCTAGTAACCTTTTTTTTTTCTGAGACAGGGTCTCACTCTGTGGCCCAGACTGGAGTACAGTGGTACAATCACAACTCACTACAGACTCAACCTCCTGGGCTCAAGTGATATTCTGTGTCCCATACAGCCTCTGGAGTAGATAGGACCACAGATTCATGCCACTACACCTGGCTAATTGTTTTTATTTTTTGTAGAGATGGGAGTCTCACTATGCTGCCCACGCTGGTCTCGAACTCCTGGGCTCAAGCCACCCTCATGCCTTAGCTTCCCAAAGTGCTGGGATTACAGGTATGAGCCATCACACCAGACCTACTAACCTATTTGATGCTCCCAAGCACTCACTGAGGTAGATGTTTCATTACACCCATTTTACAGATAAATAAACCATCTTAGAGAGGTTAAATAAGTTATTCATGGCTCCACAGCTAGCTAGTGGCAGATTCAGGATGCAATTTTGGAGAGTTTGGCTCCAGAGTTCACACTCTTAGCCAAGACACCATCATTTAAATGCTTATTCCCTACATGCAGCATTGTCAAGGCTAAAGGCAGGAAGGCATTTTCATGGAAATACATGTGCACACGTACATGTACATGGCCACCCCGCTAAAATCATACTATAGGCATTGTTCAAAACACTCTTTATGGGCCGGGCACAGTGGCTCATACCTGTAATCCCAGCAGTTTGGGAGGCTGAGGTGGGCAGATCACCTGAGGTCAGGAGTTGCAGACCAGCCTGGCCAACATGGTGAAACTCCATCTCTGCTAAAAATATAAAAAATCAGTGAGGCGTGGTGAGGCACGCCTGTAATCCCAGCTACTCGGGAGGCTAAGACAGGAGAATCACTTGAACCCGAGAGGTGGAGGTTGCAGTGAGCCAAGATCACGCCACCATATTCCAGCGTGGGCAAAAAGAACAAAACTCTATCTCAAAAAAAAAAAAAAAATGTCTTTATGGCCTGGCTCGGTGACTCACACTTATAATCCCAGCACTTTGGGAAGCTCAGGCAGGAGGATCGCTGGAGTACAGGAATTTGAGACCAGCCTGGGCAACATGGTGAAATCTCATCTCCACAAAGAATACAAAAGTTAGCTAGGCATGGTGGTGTGTGCCTGTACTCCCAGCTACTCAGGGGGCTTAGGCAGGAAGATCACCTGAGCGCAGGGAGGTCCAGGCTGCAGTTAGCCAAGATAGTGCCACTGCACTCCATCCTGGGTGACAGATTAAGACCCTGTCTCAAGTAACAACAAGAACAAAAGAAAAAACCCACAAAAACAAAAAATTCTCATTTAAAAGTGGAAACTGATGGCTGGGCACGGTGACTCACGCCTGTAATTCCAGCACTTTGGGAGGCCGAGGAGGGTGGATCACTTGAGGTCAGGAGTTTGAGACCAGCCTGGCCAACATGGTGAAACACCATCTCTACAAAAAATACAAAAGTTAGGGAGGCATGGTGGTACGCACATGTAATCCCAGCTACTTGGGAGGCTGAGGCAGGAGAATTGCTTGAACCTGGGAGGCAGAGGTTGCAGTGAGCTAAGATTGCACCGCTGCACTCCAGCCTGGGCTACACAGCAAGATTCCATCTCAAAAATAAATAAAAATAAAAGAGGGAACTAGGAGGACTATAGTTCCTAAAAGATGAATGACCACACAAACTCTACCAAGAAAACGGAAATGAGTGTCATATTGTGTGAGTCAGATTCTAGGTTTCAGTAGCTTAGCAATAAGAACAATGATGAGACAAGACATGCCCTCTGAGGTAGTCCTCACCGCTCAAAAACATGGTTATAATAAACACTCCTAGCCTCTAGAAAATTTGCTGTCAAAAAACTTTTAGGCCTCTGCACCATAAGACAGGGCCAAAAAATAAATGATAAAGCTTTTTTTTTTTTTTTT